GTCACCCTTGCACTGACGACCAACTCGCCGCTTCCCTTTCGGGTTCCACTCGAGCAATGGCTTGTCTAGTGATGTCACTTGATGGTTTCCTCAGAGTATGGCCAGCCAATCCATCTCCATTTCTTCTTGCCTATTTGTTTCACAATCGGTTCCTGCTGGGTTGGTTCGCTCATTGCCACAGATCTCTGTTGCTGATCTTTTCTGGCCGACCATCTGATCTTGAGTATTGAGCGAGCACTGACTTCACATTGGAGTTGAAAGTCCGGATCTTATTTTTGATGCTGAGTGCTGTTGATCTCCTTCACACAGACTTGAGAGTAGTGAAAGCTTGTCTTGCTTTTCCGATCCTCACTGGTTTGATATCCTCGTTAGTTCTGTTCGCCTGTAGTTGAAACGATGCTTTCCAGGTAGGTAAAAGAGGTTGTTTCTTTCAGGTTCCTCCCATTTATACTGACTGTTGTTATTGCTGTTGGTGGTGTTGCCCAGGAATTTTCATCACCTCTGTTTTCTCAATGTTCACCTGAAGTCCTATCTTCTTCTGCCAACTTGTTGCTTTTCGCTTGCATATCTTCCAGTTTGTGGGAAATCAGACATATATCACCAACGGCGAAGTCTAGATCCTCCAAGTTTTTTGTGTGGGTCCATTTTATGCCTGTTTCCTCATTGCCCGCTGTTTGTCGCATTATCCAATCTACTGCAATCAGGAAAATCATTGGCGATAGTAGGCAGCCTTTTCTTACTCCTGTCCTCACTTTGAAGGATTCCGTAAGTTTCCCGTTGTGGATTACTTGGCATGCAGCATTGTCGTACAACTGTTGGATGAGATGTATAATTGTCGGTGGCACACCGTAGTAGCGAAGTATTTGCCAAAGCACTTCTCGATCGACGCTGTCTGCTAAAGGCCTTTTCAAAGTCGATGAAGTTGAGATAGAGAGGTGACTGCTATTCCAATCTTTGTTCAATGATGATCCGTAATGTGGCGATCTGATCAATGCATGACTTGTTTCTCCTGAATCCAGCCTGTTCCGGTCGAAGTTTTTCATCCAGGTCGGCATGTTTGATTCTCTCCAGGATCATCATCATTATGTGAAGTTAAATAAAAGTCTTTTAAATGACCTTGACACAACTCAGGCCAAACTGTGATTGGTCATTTCAGGGTTATTGAATTTAAAGAGTCAATAACCAATGAGAGTTCAGCCTTCATAAAGAGTGGGAAATATAAAGGTTACGATAACTGTAAAATATAGTTGTTTTAAGGTTGTAGGTTAACGCACGCTAGACAAAAATTAGGCGATAACAATTGGCTTTATATTATGAAGGTTTTGGTGAGCTGATGTCTTTCATTTCTAATAAAGGTTGCTGTTTTGTATTTCCCAATGAATGAAAAACAAAACGATATTGTTGTGGTTTTTACTGACGTTTCGCTATTTAATGCTGCTGCTAATAGCTTTATTAAAGTAGTATTATTAAAGCAGAATTTATAAAATCTTAGCATACATATAACAAAGACATTTGGAAAAAATTATATTTGTAAAATCTCAGTGAAATTGAAATAAGTAATTCCAACGTTTCGTTCGGCAATCTGGTTTGAACTTCTCCAGGGTAATTAATCGAAATTAACATAACAGAGGTTATATATATACAAGGAACATCTCTTGTTTTTGGAACTTTGTCCAAACATATGAATCATGAAACAGGTATCAACAGGTATAATAAACAAAAAAATTTGTATAAACTGTGGTCAAAATTTGACCTCAGACTTTCAAAATTAGTCTACTTTTGTTAAAATATATGTGTATATGCAGTATACAATGGTGTGTGTGTGTGTGGGTGGGTGGGTGAACAGCCATAAAACATTTGTTAGAGAATCGGGGATTTTTCAGTGGTCGAACAGAGTTCGGTCTACGGTGTTCATTTCTTCAGATTTTGATTTCTCTCTGGCGATGTTTGTCTGATGTATATCGCATCACATTCCAAGCAAGCATTTTACTTTATGGCCACAATTAGATAGAGAATCTTTAAGGATTTGGTCTTCTATATGGATAAGGTCGTTTCGCAGTGTGTCTGATGTTTTGAAGAAAACTCTAATGTCGAGCTTATTGAGTACTCTTCTGATATCTATCGTCTGTCGTCTGTGCTCTATACCCAATACCCAAACTTTTTCAAACTGCTAAAAGTGAACTTGGTTTGGACATATACACAAATGTATTTTGATGATTAATAAAATCCGAATAATTCTGCTGAAGAAGCTGGCTGTGGCAGCTTACAAAGCGAAACGTTCAGAAAATAGATCTTGTTTTGATTTTTTCTTAAACACGACACTGCGATTATTTTAAATAATTTTTATTTTGTTGCTTGTATGAAATTATATACCATAGGTCACAAAAAATTTTGTTTTTCCATGATTTGTGTTTAATATTTTTTCTGGACTGTGACTGTCAATACTTTCTCAGTTGACTTATGTTTTCCCGGTCGAAATGTTCTGATTCTGGGAACATTAAAGAATCGACACTTAACAACAGTCGACCTTCAAACAGCCAATCAGATTCTTCCAGGTGGAAAGTGGCATTTAATTAATGAAAAAGTTTTTTTTTAAATATATACATATGTGATAAAAATGAATTATAAAGGGTATATGTCTCTAATATGCTGGAAAAACTGGTGCAGTTTCGCAAAGGAGTGGTTATAGAGATATATTAAATCAATATCAATACAAGGACTCATCTAATTGGCTATATACGATATCATTTCGAAAAATCACTGCAAGACTCTTCAAATCTCTAGGTATTGACGTCGCATACAAACCAACAAAATTACGTCACCACTCAGCTGGCTCTTTGTCAACCAACCAAAAGACTCCACAACGAAAGAAGATAAAAACCAACATCATCTACAAAATAAATTGTAACAACTGCGAAAAACACTGCATTGGCCAAAGTGAACTTTCCCTTCGTCTTCCTATCCATGAAAACAAACTAACTAGCAGTCAAAAGACATGACATCCATTCCCTCACTCATATCACTACATACAGATCACCACGTAAATCAGTTCGACTGGTGCAACGTGCAAATATTAGACAGACAGAGGAAACACCAAGAATGCTAGAAAATGTTTAGAAGCCTGGTATTCCAGTGAACCATCAATCAATAGACACATCGAGATAGAGAAAATCTACCAAGCGATAAGAAGGAAACCTCACATACACAGGGTCAAACTTTAGGTCAAGGAAACAATCAGCACCAATACCAATACAAGTAGCCTAGAGGATATGAAAACACACAAAAACAACCAATCACGTCCAGGGTCACCAGGAGGGATGACTAATAAGCTCGTGGAGAAATCTAAAAGCTCTCTTCAACAAATTGAAGTATGCGCTGAAGATGTTGCCTAGTAGGGCGATGAGAGCTTCGCAAATTAACTGTCCAGCTCAGAGAACACAGCCATATCAAAGTCGTTTACCATTCTGATACGTTTTTTTCAGGTGGGCGCAGAGTCCTTCAATGAAATTTATATGTGTTCTAGTTATAGGATCCACCAATTTAGAAGAATCGTTAACTTTGTGGTGAATATAGTCTAGTGAGATTAATTAAGAATGACCTCTCCACTCGTCTGTGTGAATGGTAGTGCCTGGGTAGACTAGTCGTTGTATAGGGTGAGTGGTGTCCCAATGGACCACATTGTTAACGTTGTTGTCGATAGGCATTTGACTTCGTGCAATAAGTTTGCTAAAGGGATTTTGTCTGACTTGGAGCATCCACTTCACCCTCAGCTTTCACCTTGCATCTCCTCAGGTAGAACAAGAAGTAACTTCAGAAAACTGTATGCTCGCACATCTAAGTATAAAAATTCTATGATACCATACTTGGCACGTATTTTATGTGATGAAAATAGTGTCAGGCAAGAATTAACTAACCTTTTTTCATCTAGTAAATAAACAATTTCCTCCATCCATCCTTATAAACGTTCAAGTTTTACTTTTATTATTTATATTATATTTATGGTCCTGTTGCTTCTTTGTTTTTACTTTCATAACTGCAAACTTATCTCTATGACTGCTGTAATCTTTGTTTTTCCCCTCACCATGTCATGTAAAGAGAACATTATATTCACTGTTTTTAAACATGCTAGTATTTGTTTACCGCATCGACAATACTGTGTGAAACAAGCTCACGGCAATTTTCACTTGTATTATTATTATTATTGCCTTAGCTGTTATCATTATTACTATTATTTCCATTTTATTTGCTGCATGTTTTTGACATTACCCCTATTGTAAATGTGGGAAATTTTCTGTGTGATTAAATTTATTTATAATTTGAGGAGATTAGATGCAATATTGTGATTAATGCTGAAAATTCCATTCTGTATCACAAGCACTGTTTTTGGAATAAAGTAAATTATTATTATCATTATTAATTGGTATTAAGACATTAGCTCTTCTGTTCGGGATGTGTTCTACAAACCCTTTACGAAGATTTGTGTCGTAAAGTCCCAGCACCTAAAAATGATTTGCTCTACTCCTGCCATGATTCATTTTTCGCTTAATATGTACCGTTTCGTCAATATGCATGGCGATACTAACTCCTCCGAGTACAGACATCTTAGTATTGTCTGTTTCTGCAGCTGTAGCAGATACTATTCTCTTCAATAACCAGCTATGGCATATACGCAATGTTTTACTAAGGGACAGTTTCGATTTCAAGAAGAAAGTCTGATCGCGTAACCATCAGCAGCCCTGCAATACTTCTGTAGCGTCTTTATCCCTCCACATATACAGGTTTTAGTCCTCCCTACCAACCCATTTTCCGCACGGAAATCCAAAAAACCGAATCTGGGTGAAGCTTTCAACGAAGATTTTGTGAACAGCATCCATTTTGATTGCGGAGCAACCTGATTGGTTGGTTCAAGGTCATTTGACTTTGGTGTCTCTTGTTTAGTTTCTTGCCCTGATACTTAAAACTAGATGAAATATTTTTCTTTGTTTTTATTTTATTTTTAGCGTAAATCCTTCAGTTCATTTGACCGTGACGCAATCATTTAAAAAACCGCCACCGCCTCCTCCACCATCCACAATAGCTCCATTTTCATCATCTCACCAACAACAACAACAAAAACAAGCTTGTATAAATGTGACTCCTCGTAAAATGTCATTATCATCATCATCAAAACTTCCTTCAGTACTACAAAAAGCTTCCTCTACGCCTTCTGTTACTCCTACTCCTCCTACTACTACGACGACTGCTGCCACAGCTGCTGTTGCTGTTGTTCCCCCTTCTACTAATACCACCTCTTCATTATCCTTTGAAAGTCACCCGCCATCTTTAGGTGAATATTTTGATAAAGAAAATGAAACTGCTGATGATTCTTTGAGTTTGTTAGCTGATGAATTTAGTAGGTCAACTACATCTTCTATGAATACTGATTACTGACTCATACACAATTGGTAAGTCCGTCCTTTAACTCTGTATTTTGGAAATACTTTTGTTAATGTTGAATAAGTAACTCGGAGCAACAAATTTGTAATTGTTTAGTGTCATTCAGACTGGAATGTTAAGTGTGACTGACTGACTGACTGACTGACTGACTGACTGACTGACTGACTGACTGACTGACTGACTGACTGACTGACTGACTGACTGACTGACTGACTGACTGACTGACTGACTGACTGACTGACTGACTGACTGACTGACTGACTGACTGACTGACTGACTGACTGACTGACTAACTGACTGACTGACTGACTGACTGAAGGGTTTCAACTTAGAACCTTGCAGAAATGTGCACCATTTCCTGTTGTCACACTCTCTCCATGTAGCACACCAACCAACAGAAGATAGTAAAGAGAGATTCATCAAAAGAGAGATAATAAACAGAAGTGTGAGTGAGGAAAAAAGAATAGTAATATGCCAGCCATTGACAACAATTTGGAGCCATATCACCCACCAATTGTCTCCAGTTATCGTTGGTTCTCATCGTCTTGAGAACTCCAACCAGTCAGTTAAGCAGTTTGCACCTTCTTACGTGGCTAACTGGCTTAAACGAACTATTTTGGATTTCATTGACTGATGAAGCCGTGTTTTCGTTTGACCATCTCGCTCTAGCTCTTTTCCAAACCGATCCATCTTGTGTCAGCTAACTTTGCCCGTCGAGATGACTAGGCGATGACTAGGTGTAAATGCGTACGTAACACATGTCCTAACCATCTCAATCGATGCAGCTGTTTCACAACCTCGTCGATTGATTTCCCCTCCTTACCTAGCTAGCACACGACGCCTAACCTCAATATTACTCACCATATTACACCTACCACCTAACACGGGAGATAGGACGCAGACACCTATGATCATAAATAGCTAGCTAGCAATGTTTTCGTGTCTTCCACTTTCAGTGGCCATGTCTCACTCATAGCCTGCCATAAAGGAGGACAGAGTGAACTGCTGAGCAGTACACTCACCCTTTGGTCGACAGCCAACTGGGTATGACGTCTACTGAGCCAGAGATGGTGTAAGTCAGCTAATAAATGACAAATGAGCCTTCTGTATCCTTTCTGAGATTTCGTCAGCGACCAACCCTCTGGAACTGGCTTTGCAGCTTCTTAAATAAGCGAGGAGGGAGAACTATATCATCTGCATATTCTACGTCAACTAGATTATTTTCGGTTAACAAGTCAATCACTGAGTCGCTGAAATCAGCGTTTAGTCCATTAGTACAATATCTGTAATGAAATTAAACAAAAATGGAGACAGTGGGTATCCCTAATGGACACCACTAGTCGTCACCACTTCAGATGACAACTCTCCGTAGGCTCTCACCTGACTGCATGATTACGAGTAGAGTGCCTTCACATCAGTGCGATGTATTTTCTCGGCATTCCCTTCACAGCCAAACATCGCCATAGTACCTCTCGACCGACGGAATCAAATGCAGCTTTCAGATCAAGAAATAAATATGACGATTTTTGGATGCCGGTAGATATGCTTATGTTCCGGAATCTGCTGAAAGGTGAAGATATAATCAATACACCCTTTTCCTGGTCTAAAGTCTGCTTGGTTCTCTCGTGTTTGTGCCTTTCGAGCACCACTTAGTCTACGCATTATTATTGAGCCTAGAACTTTAGATACCATATTGTTCGGTAGCCCTTTTTAGCTGGCTTCTCGATCGCTCAAAGACTTTCATCTCCTTCGAATCTGACTCGTCATTTTTCATTCAGGTTCCATTCGAGCACCTGCCGCGTTATGTTAGTTAACAGTCCTCCCCGCATATCTCCAATCCATCTCCCCATTTTCTTCTCTGCATATTTTTTGGCGCAATAGCGTTCTTGGTTGGTTCTTTGCTTGCCGGGGTTCTTTCTCTACTTATCGTTCATCTTCAGCCATCTGATTTTCAATATGAAGTCAAGACAGCTGCTGATGGTAGCCTGTAGTAGACAGTTACAGATGTTTTTGGTCACACATGCACTCCAAGTATCTTAACTATATGTAAAGCAGATCTTGTTCCTTACACTGAAATCAGTAAATTTCAATACCACATTAGTATGAATCAATTAAGAACACGTCACATGATCAACAGGAAAATCAGTACCCAGTGCAAGTAGATGCCTTGATAAGAAAATCTCTGGAAAGAAATTACAATCAAGGTTATCACGAAAGATGGGATTATTTCATTCATGAAGAGTTTCGAAAGCATACTGTATACTTTGAAGTCAATGTTGAAAACGCTGTCTTTGAAGAGCAATGGAAGCTTGGCAATTTTAACTATCTAACTCACCTTTGTGTTCCAGTCTTGGTCTTTGAAGTTTCTGTTGTGTTTCTTTTTTCATGGTGTATAATTGCTAGTCTCATCTCCGTCTTTCCCTCTTGCCCGAAGTACTCCTGGTTAAGCGAAGTTTAACAGTGTGTCGATGGGGAACTGAATCCGTACAATGTGCGTGGTGAATGAACAAACTTCCATATTACGTAACTTGGATGCTTCCACAATATCTGAAGATTAACGCAATGATAGTATTCATCGCTGCTTGATGGCTAACGATGAAATTTGGGATGAATATTTCGTTCCATCCAGGATTTTGTCAACTGAATGTACCTGTGTTCCTAGTCAATGATGGTATTCCCCATCGATTCTGTTGGAATAAACGCCTAATATCAAATACGCATCCTGGATTCCACTAGGAGGTACTGGTGTTTCGAACCCCGGCTGGTGCTCACTGCCAGTGTGTCCTAAACTAGCACGGAACAGCTATTCAGTACTCCTTGCCGGGTTTCCAATGGTTCTCTAACTGATATTAGTCTGCGGTCGTACTTTTAGAACTAACCAAACCCCTACAAACTAATTTTTTGAAAGTAATAATACAATTCACACATTCATTTGGTGGTGGATGGTGACTGGCAGTGGAATCCAGAATAACGCACATTTCGTCCTATTTGGGATCCGTCACTGACTAGATGTACCTGCATTCCCTAGTCAGTGAGTGATAGATGGTATTCCCACTAAGGCTTCAACCCAGTACCCATAGTTTCAAACGCCAAAGTGTTATCCACTTCAGCCTCTAGAGTCACCTCTTCTGCAACAGGTATCAGTATTTATTTCAATTCATTTTGGACTCTCCCGTTGGTTGATTCTACCGCAGCCCTTGGTCTCAGGTTGACGTGTCGGCCCCTTGTGCAGATGCTTCAATGGTGACTGACTGTTTAACACTATCACTCACTGGGGAATGCACGTACATCCAGTTAGCTAACGAGTCCCAAATAGGACGAAATGAGAGCATCCTGAAGGATACTACTGCTAATCACCATCCACCAATTCAATTCAAATTAAATAACCAGACACTATCGCAGCATCTGAACAAGGAGACGACATACCAACCTGAGGCCAAGCACCTCTGTCCAATAAATCAGCTGGAAAGTCCAGACTGAATTAAAAGATTTACCAGTCATTACATTCAACTAATCATATTGGTTTTTTTCTAAATTTTATTTTAGGAGAGAGAGAGATATCAATGGAGTGGAGTGGAAACAGGTTGCAAAAAGTTAAAAGCAAACCTTCTTTATTGCATCACATCTCTTTATTATTATTATTGCTACTACTAATTGGAGTACACTTTTTGTATAAAGTACAAAAAAACCGAATTGCTTATTATTACTACTGACAATATTGATAGTAGTATAAATACAGCTGACAAAAGTTTCTTCCTCTATGAGCAATTCTACTAGTCAACCAGACTCGTTTTTTTATTGAAATCTCCTTGTTTGAGTTCTTTTTGTAAATAATATACATTGATCTAGTGCACCAAGTCACGAGTGATGAAGATAGCCACTAGAAATTTATGATATCATGTATCCTAGCCTTATTATTATTATTACGTAATCAGCCTTGTCGCATACTGATTTTATCCCTGCTGTTGAACAAGTCTTCCATATATCTTTACTATTGTTTGTTATTATTCCTCATTTGTTCATTGATTCATTCATTCATTCACTCAGAAAGTGTTTCTACACTGTCTAACTGCTTTATTGTGTAAACGTTTTGTTTTACCGCACTGTTTGTTCAATTGTTCAATTGTTGTAAGGCGTATCAGTTTCGAATCTATTGGCCTTTAATTTTTTATTTTGTTTGATGATGTGTTCTACTGTAAATAAATAAATAAAGAGATGAATGAATCGCGTTGGTTTTTGTGTTGTTGTTTATTTTTGTGCATCGGTAAATGTTCGCCAACCAAGCATGCCGTCGTCTAGGGTTCTGTCTCTGTCTGGATTTAACATAGAACTTGGCACCGAAGTGCAGCAGTTCGAGTTGCCACCTTCCAAATAGCACTCAAAGGTATACAAGAAAATGAGTGAAGAGAATCAATAGAGTTTTGACAAGTATAAGAGTGAAACAGAATGAGTACTGGTAGAAAGGAATATGAAAGATTACAGAGACTGAATACATCTGCAACTGTTTTTTATTCCCTACATCTGCGTAAGCCATTGACAACGATTTTGAGCCATGTCACCTATTGTCTGTCTCCAGCCATTGATTCTTAGAAACCCGAGGTCCACAACCCGGAAATCTGCATCTCCCTCCCTACCTGACTCAGTTTAACTGTCAAGGATTTCATGGATTGATGAGGCCATGTTTTTGTTTGGCCACCACTTACTCTTTTCCAACCTGCACCTATATCAGTTAGCTAGTAATGCCCGTCGGGGTGGGGGAGGCGATGGTTAGGCATGCTCAGCACGTGGCCTAGCCATCTCAATCTATGTAACTTTATAGCCTCTTCGATTGATTTTCCTTCTTTGCCCAACACTCTACGCCTAACGTCAACATTACTTACTTTATTATGCCACCTAACGTGAGAAAGAGATCGTATACATCTATGACCAGAAACAGTCAACCTTTTCATGTCTTCAACTCGTATTGGTCATGTTTCAGAGCCATAGAGAAGGACGGAGCGAACTGCTGAGCAGTACACACGTCCCTTCCGGCCGATAACTGCTACCTTGCCGTGGTGGTCGGGCTTGAATGTCGCAGTGACCCAACAAGCTAAACTGGCTGGGACTCATGTCCCTGCAGGTCCTACCATGTCAGGAAGGTTGTTTGGATAGCGGTTAGACTAAAAGCAGTTACCATGGGGTACATGGGCTCCAGTTTCCAATTGGATCGAATGGCGTATGAACCCATATGGGTCACCGGCAACCATGGGAATGCAGCTCCTGACGCTGTTCCGCTGCCTTGCGGATTAGACTCCAAGTCAAAGGCTCGGGGGGTGGTCCCTTAATAAAACCACCTGTTTCGGTCTGGGCGCCCGGGCAGTATCTCAGCCCGCACACAATGAATGAATTGAAGCAACGAACTCAAATTGAAACTCAACGCGCGCTAGTGAAAAATGATTCCAAGCAATATTGATCCCTCAAGCAACTTATTTCCTTCCTATCTTACTTTTATTTTTACACACAGTTTCCTGTATTTTACCTTTGCTAACCTTGACTTCTTAACCTTCGACAGCCTTTCGCCTTTGTCGAGATTCCCAGCCTATCCGTGTCGTTTCGAGATGTTAGTGAGTAGTCCTCAAAATGGTTGTTCCCAATGCGACTTCTAAGACAGATATCCTGAAACCGCGTGCTGCGTTCAAGCTGGCTACCTACAATGTTCGGACGCTGATGCAAATCGGACAACAGGCAGGGTTGGCAAGAACTTTGGAAAGCCTCGCTATCGATGTCTGCTGCATTTCGGAGACCCGCATTCAAGATCCCAGTGAAGTGCTTCGACTATCCTCTCCATCTGGAAGTTCTAGTAGTACGTACCACCTGCGCTTATCCGGGGACCCTGTGGCATCGGCATCCGGCGTAGCTGGTGTCGGTGTCGCACTGAGCGCTAGAGCCGAAGCTGCACTGCTCGACTGGATTCCCATTAACAGTCGTTTATGTGCTGTGAGGCTGGAAGGATATACGAAAGTAAGGAGTAGTAGGCCAGATAGGCGGTGTCTATTTGTTGTCTCTGCCTATGCACCGACGGATTGCAGCCCGGATGCAATGAAGGATGAGTTTTACTACCAACTGAGCGATCTGTTGAAACAGGCGGGTCGGAGGGATATCGTAGTGCTAGCTGGGGACTTGAATGCACAGGTCGGGCGTCTAAGCTCAGAGGAGAGTCGTCTAGGTGGTCAGTGGGGACTACATGGTCGCAGGTCAGATAATGGGGACCGTCTTCTGCAGCTTTGCGCGGATCACAACCTATTTCTAGCCAGCACCAACTTCCGGCACAGCCATCGCCGTAGCGCTACCTGGCGTCCTCCCTCTGCGAAGCAAGCTTGGACTCAGATTGATCATATTGCGGTCAGTTTCCGGTGGCGAGGATGCATACAAGACTGTCGCTCCTTCTGGAGCACATGTCTGGACTCCGATCATGCGTTAGTGTGTGCCAAGTTCGTCTTGCGATTTGGTGGGGTTCGTAAAAACCGTCGTCTAAGCGTTGATGTGAGCAAACTAGTAGCACCTGCTACTTCTTTGAAATATCAGAATGAGTTGAAAACAATGCTTGCCAGCAACCCCCCAAGTAGTATAGATGAACACTGGCTTCATGTGCAAGGTGCCATGCAAAAGGTGAGTGTAGCCGCTTGCGGCTTGAAAGAATGCTCCGCTAACAACCACTGGGTTTCTGCGAGTTCCTTGCAACTCATGGATGAACCCCGGTCCATTCCGGCTGGCAGTGAATACAACAATCAGCGAAAGGCGCTCACGCGCAAGATTAGACAGTGTTTACGTAAGGACCGCGAAGCCTGGTGGTCAGAACGTGCGTATGAGATGGAGTCAGCTGCTGCATCTGGCAACAGTCGGAAGCTGTTCCAACTCATACGAGCCACCGGCAGCAAGAAACAAGGTGTCAGCGAGACGGTCTGTGACGCAGATGGCACTCCAATTACCAGCCTGAAGAGACGCCTGGAACGCTGGGCAGAGCACTTCGGGAAGCAGTTCAGCTGGCCACCAGCTTCATTGTCTACTATCATTAGCCCGAGTGCTCCTTGGTCGGTTAGTACCGACCCACCCACCGAAGCGGAGGTCCGTAAGGAACTCCAAGTTCTGAAACGCCATAAGGCGCCCGGCCCAGACAAATTACCCCCGGCTCTTTTTAAAGAGGGTGGTGAGACTCTCATAATGGCTCTAACTGGGTTGTTCATGAGGGTGTGGGAGACAGAGAGCGTACCATCAATGTGGAACGAAGCCATTATCGTCCTCATCTTTAAAAAGGGTCGACGTAATTCGTGTGACAACCATAGGGGTATCAGTCTGTTACCAGTTGCGTCTAAAATATTGGCTGCTGTCATGCTTCGCAGACTGTGCAAAATACGTGAAGGATTGATTCGCGAAGAGCAGGCTGGGTTTCGTTCAGGTCGTGGATGCATTGATCATGTGTTCACCCTTCGTCAGTTGTTGGAACACCGCCACACGTATTGCAGGCCAACGATCGTTGTGTTTCTTGATATTAGGGCTGCCTTCGATTCATTGGACAGAACTGTGCTCTGGAACTGTCTGTTAGAGAGAGGTGTACCTGAGAAATTTGTTAACATCTTGAAAGCCCTATACAGAAACACCTCAGGTAGAGTGAGGGCATACAACCAACTATCACCACTGTTCCCAACCAACAGTGGGGTTAGACAGGGTTGCCCAATCTCGCCATTTCTCTTTAACTTTGCCATCGACGACATTCTGGAGTCAGCTCTGAAGGATGTGCGTGAAGGTGGTGTAGATCTGCTACCTGGAGATAGACTTTTCGACCTCGAGTATGCAGACGATATCGTCTTACTGTGCGATAGCATGCAGGCTGCCCAAATCGCACTTAATCAGTTGGCGATCAGTGTCTGTAAGTATGATATATGCTTTGCACCATCTAAGTGCAAAGTACTGTTACAAGATTGGCAGGAGCCTGTACCTGCACTCACTCTTGCAGGTGAACCGCTTGAAGTTGTCGATAAGTTTGTGTACCTAGGTAGTTGTGTGAGTGCTGGCGGAGGGGTGACGGATGAGATTTCCAACCGTATAATGAAATCTAGGGTGGCATACATCAACTTGAGCCACCTCTGGCGCCGTCGCGACATTAGCCTGGCTGTCAAAGGTCGGGTATACAATGCTTCGGTGCGGGCTGCGCTGCTCTACGCCTGTGAAACCTGGCCTCTCCGAGCTGAGGATGTGAAGCGACTCTGCGTGTTCGATCACCGCTGTCTCCGCAGGATTGCTTGCGTTCGATGGCATCATCGCGTGAGTAATTCTGAGGTTCGGCGGCGTGTGTTTGAACACAGTGGAGATCACCATTCATTGAATGTCGTCATCTGGAAACACCGGCTCCGGTGGCTTGGACATGTGCTGCGAATGTTACCCCAGAGGCTTCCGTACAGGTCTCTGTTCGCTAGCCCTAGGACGGGATGGAAAAGGCGGAGAGGTGGTCAGACCATGACGTGGCGTCGTGGGATGAAGGATTTCTGTGCTAGATTAGCATCGGTTGGTGTGTCACGACTCCCTGGTTGGGGTCTGAGAGATAGCTCAAATCGATGGCTCGAAACGTTATCGGATATGGCCAAGAATCGTAATCAATGGCGAATGTTTTGCGATTTCCTTCTTTCTTCCATTCCCGATGATAGTTAACGAACACTGTTTGAACCTGTTAAGAATGAGTGTTTTCCTTCCAGATGAAGTTCTTTATTCGTTCTCTACTTATATATATATCTTTTCTTTTCCTGCCTTCCTTCCTTTTTTTTCATCTATGTTGTTTTATTATTATTGTGTGGCGCATCCTTCTTGGTGCCATATTGTACCAAGTTCTAATGCGTTTAAATAAATAAATAAATACACACGTCCCTTGGTTGATAGCCGGATGTCACGCCTACGCCAGAGATGGTGTAAGTTAGCGAAAGCCGTCCAGGTTTCGATTCCCGGCCAACGCACTTATAAATCGTGCCTAACTGACTAGCCAATGGGTTGAGGATATACGCTATCGCAAATTAAACCTGTGAGGCTTTCGCGTCAGTTAACTTGTGTAGGTAGAATGAAGGCAGTCAATTACGGCTTGAATTTTTTGAGGTACTTAGTTGATTTTGTATTCCAGGCCTAGAGAAATGCTGCTATTGTATCAGATATTATGTTTGTCTCTTTTAAAGGTGCTCTATCAAATCTTTCAAGGGGGCAGT